TGATCATATTTCACAAAATATTCAGCAGCATATTAACAAGAAATACAGTATTCCATCACTAAGTAACTTATTTAAGCAGTTTCTTATCACTTAAATCGTAGACTACTGGGATAATTTAACGTATGAAAATGGGTCAGCAGTGCATTAACTGAAGGAATAAAATAACCCAGCTTAATGGAAGCAGAAACTTTTTTTTTTGCCAAAATTGATCACCCTTTCACAAAAATCTTCTACACACTACAACCTCAGTTTTACATAGGCCGTTCAGAAAAACGCATGGTAAATAGTAAATATCATCCTTAGTGCTGAAAACTGGAAGCTAGTAGCAGAAACAAGATAAAGATGTCTGCTTTCATCACTTCAGTTCGTCTTTCATTTTAGAAGTTATAGCAAAAGCAGTTCAGCAAGAGAAAGACTTAAAAAAACCCAAGTAGGAAAAAAGAAGTAGAATGATCTGTGTTTTGGTCTTATATGTAGAAAAGATTCTACACACATTTAAAAATTGGTTCACACTAGTACACTCAACACAGCAGCAAAATCAACTTTCAAAAATTAATTGTATTTCCATACATTAACCAAGAAGAGTCTGAAAAGCAAATTATGAAAACAGTACCATTTGCATAAGGAGAGGCAAAAGATGGTTCACTACAGACTGCAAAACACGAAAAAAAACATTCATAGAAACGGTCTAGGGCCGGAGGTCAGACCCGGAGTCCAACGCTGGCGGCCGTCCCTCCCGCCGTCCTCTGCCCGCCATCCTCCGCCCGCCGTCCTCCGCCCGCGGTCGTGAGGGAGGCCGCAGCTCGCCCGCAGCAGAGCCGCGTTACAGGACCCCAAAAAAACAAACAAACAGAATGTCTGAAGGTGACAGCGTTGGAGTCTGTCCGTGGGGAACCGTCAGTGGTGTACAGATTTTTCACGCGTCTTGGACAGATTTACCAGTCCTGGCTGGACAAGTCCATGCCTTATACAGCTGCTCGATGGGTCTTGATGCTGGGCCTGACTTTTGTCCACATTAGAGTTTACCTGTTACAGGGTTGGTACATCGTGACCTACGCCTTGGGAATCTACCACCTAAATCTCTTCACTGCGTTCCTTTCTCCCAAAGTGGATCCTTCCTTAATGGAGGATTCAGATGATGGTCCTTCATTACCAACCAAACAGAAAGAGGAATTTCGTCCCTTCATTGGAAGGCTTCCAGAGTTTAAGTTTTGAGCGGCTACCAAGGGCATCCTCGTGGCTATGGTGTGTACCTTCTTGGAGGCATTCAACGTCCCAGTGTTCTGGCCAATCCTGGTGATGTACTTCATCATGCTTTTCTGTATCACAGTGAAGAGGCAAATAAAGCACATGATTAAATACCAGTACATACCGTTCACACACATGACATGATCCTGCTTTCCACTCATATGAAACTCTGCTCCTGCATCTGGAGCTATTAGTAGGCAGCCCATGTGAGTTAGTCATTCCATGTTTTCATTCCTTATTTTTGTTTTGAAAATAGTGACATTTATAGTGATGTTGTTTATTACTTGACTAGCTATTGATAATCGCTTCCTAAATAGTCTGAAGCTGGAACCTAATTAGACTTAATTTTGTGTCTTATGTTATTAAACATCCTTGTTCTTAAATTGAAATTTGGGTACATTTTACACTGCTTTGGCATTTGTTACATTTAACTATCCTCCTACTATAATACATTCTCCAGAATTTTATTAGGGAGAGTTTGTATTCATATTACTGTGAGGTATTCCAGAAGGAGGAGAGCAAATACTTTGTAAGGTATGGGCTTGGAATAAGTAATAATAGAGAGATTAAGGGAATTAGAGCATCTCTGGATTGGGTGCTAAGAAGTGAGTTCAGTTTTGTAAATCTGGATCCTAGGAGCAGGAGGTTCAAAGCAGACTTGAGACTTTGGTGCTCTGATATAGCCTTGGGCTATGTAGTGTTCAAATTCAGTCTTTCTAATGATGTTTTATGATAACCAGTCTCTTACCCTCAGAGCATATGTATAAGTAACTAGCAAGAGAAGATTGCTGTTTCCATCTGTGCTATGTCTTAAATTCTGGAAAAGTAAAATGTTAACTAGAATCATTAAAATGGAAAAGAATGGATCCTCTCTTAACCTATAATAATACACAATTGATTTATGAAGATTCAGTCACAGGACTTTAAAAACAAAAACAGGCTTAGCCTTTCTGTCCTGAGCTGATTGTCCTTGGTTGACATGGAATTTGAAACCTGCAGACCTGAAAACAAATAAATGTGAAACAGTAATTTTATTAGTTTTTGTATAAGAACATAAGTCTACTTTTTCACTTATTAAACATATTCATTCATACAATGTTTTATAAAATGACTTAGTGGAACCATTTAAGTCATTTAAAAGTTTCTTCTACCATAATTTTAACAGAATTTTTGGAGGCAGAGAGGTTTTATAGGAGTGGTCAGTACAATGTCTTATCAAAACCATTCAAGTTTTTAGCTACTTTAATATAGCTATTTTATATTTGTACATTGTTACTATAATCTCTTAAAGGCAAGGTCATGGTTCACCCACTCCTTTTTTGTTTCTTTCACCAAATGCAATTGCCTTCAAATTTACGAATTATTATTATTTTTAATGTAATGTGTTAGTTTTCTGTTTCTGTAATAGATCACCTGAGTTAAATCAACTTGTAGAACAAAAGGCTTACTTTGGCTTACAGTTTCAGAAGTTTCTGCTGATGACTGGAAATAATATTTTGGGTCTGTGGCTTCATATTGTAGGAGCACATGGCAGAGCAACTTGTTCACTCTAGATAAAAGGGATAAGAGGTCAGAGTTCTCAGGGCACAACCCCTCAGTGACTGGAAAACTTTCCTTTAGGCCCCACTTATTTTTTTTTTCTTCAAAATTTTTATTATGATTAAGTGGTTACATAATTTTCCAAATTTCACAGTATTGTGGGATAGTGATGCTTAGTTAAAGTCACAAACACATACTAACTTTCATGGGGCAAATTGTCTATCATGGTCTATAACATTTATGAGTTCTATGAGCTTTGCGATACAGTTATTTCTTCCACATTGGGTGGTATGTACATTTCTTCTGTTTTGCATAGCATCAGCTGTTCCCTCTTTCCCACTTGTTCCCTCCCTCCCATCGCTGCTATTGAGTTACCTAGTTCATTTTGGCCAACGTCCAGTGCAGCTGATGGGTCCCGCTGTTGTATGTTTTTCCCTGATTCCCTCTAGTTCTGTGTTGTCCTCCTGGTTTCCCTCCGGTGTGCATATATATATACCATATATGTGATCAGCAGCATGGGGTTATTTGGTAGTGATTCAACCAGATGAGTGGAAATCCTTTGTTTCTTAAGTCTTGTTAATTTTGTTGTGTCACCCATTATTTTGGATTTAACATCCACTTATCAGGGAGACCATGTGTCATTTGTCTCTTTGCTCTTGGCTTACTTTGCTCAACATGATTTCTTCTAGCTCCATCCATTTCCCTGCAAATGCCATTATTTTGTCATTTCTAATGGCTGCATAATACTCCATTGTGAATAGATACCATAATTTTTGGATCCATTCATCTGTGGTGGGACATCTGTGTTGTTTCCATATCCTGGCTATTTGTGAACAGTGCTGCAATAAACATGGAGGTTCATGTGTCCTTGTGTACTGGTTCCTGTTGTTCAGGATAGATGCCTAGAAGTGGTCTGGGTCATAAGGGAGGTCAATATTATCTTTCTGAGGACCCTCCAGACTGCCTTCCAAAATGACTGTATAAGTGTACATTCCCACCAGCAGTGTAATAGGGTTCTTCTTTCTCTGCATCCCCTCCGGCATTTGTAGTTGGCTGACTTGAGGATGTGGGCCATACTGACTGGGGTAAGGTGGTATCTCAGGGTTGTCTTTATTTACATTTCCTTCACAACCAGCGATGGTGAACATTTCCTCATGTGTTTCTTTGCCATTTTTATCTCTTCTTCTGAGAAGTGTCTCTTTAGTTCCCTTGCCCATTTAGTAATTGGTTTGTTAGGTTTGGGAGGGATTAAGTTTCTTGAGTTCCCTGTATATACTGGATATTAACCCCTTGTCTGATATATTGCTGGTAAATATTTTCCCCCAGTTAGTTGGTTGTCTTTCTAGCTTGGTTGCTATAGATTTAGCTGTGCAGAAGCTTCTTATTTTAAGGTAGTCCCATTTGACAAGTCTCTCTCCAATTTGTTGTGACCCTAGGACTCTGTTCAGTAAGTTCCTTAGGCCCCACTTCTTACAGGTTCCACTATATCCCAATAGCTTCATAGGCTGAGGATCAAGACTCATGATTCATGAATCTCTGGGGAATATTTAACAACCAAGTTGTAATTTTTGTCATACTTGTTTGTTTTAAATACACTGTGAACTCCTCTTTGAGGATAAGTAGTGTAAAAGACCTCCTTATAAATATTTCTTGCTATTCCTAAACTCATTTGTTCTTAGTCTTGTCTCTAGTAGTCATTTCTTTTGTGCTTGTTTCAATAATATTAAACCATTTGTTGCTACTTTGATGTTCTCAAATCATAGCATGCCCCAGTAGATACTAGGATTTCCATGCCCCTGTAGATACTAGGTATGTGCTATTTCTATTTTGTATAATAATTGTATAAAGAAGTTTCACTGTAGTATTTCCATACATGCATACATCATATTTTGATTAAATTTATCTCCTCTATTACTCTTAGAAGTATTACAGAAGTTGTGTATCTGACTCAATCTCACAAGTAATGTGGAACATTAGACAAATTTTTTGAGACGCTTCTGTGTCTTTTTGAGCTAATCTCTTTGTAGGCTATCTTCCATTAAATAATAGCACTGACTTAGAGTACCTAAAATTTTTTTCTGTATGATATTTTGTGGTTATATGAAAAATTAGAAAATATTTGGTAGCTTTTTAAAAATGGTTTATTTTTATTTATCTTTATTAAAGTGCACATAAGCATAGATTTATGTGGATATTACTTACTTTACAGGAAGGATGATAAAGATTATGCTTTGAAACAAATAGAAGGAACTGGGATCTCTATGTCGGCATGTAGAGAAATAGCAGTAAGTAAAAATACTTTCTATTATCATTATTACCAGATGCCTTGTGAGAGTTATATAGGTCTTTATATTATATTGCCATATTAATTGATACTGATGAATATTTTAATATCAGATATTTATAAAAAGTATATTTAAGAAGCAATGATGGCATGTAACTCAAAAAGTATAAATTCATTTGTTTGGGCAAAATTAATTTTAGTTGTTTATATGAATATATGTACAGTTTACAATAAATGTAGTAGTTACATTTCTAGTTTTTATGTAAAAGATAAAATTCATATTTCCATTTCAATAAAATAGGAATAATTCACTACTTAGGTCAAATTAAAATGAGATTCTGTTACCTGATTTCATTTTTACTTGCTCATTAGAGGGTACAGTTTTCTCAACAGTATTTTATAGTTTTTAATGTGATGATTTTACACAGTTTTTGCACTTTTTGTTATATTTGTTTTCTTACACTAAAGTGGAATTATTAAAAAAATTTTACTATTCTTGACTTTTCTCAGAAATAGAATTTATTTTCTATATTATTTGTGTATTGTATAGTATATCCTGATACGTCTTTAAGTTCACTATTAGTTTTTTGGTGGTTTTCTATATAAATGATATGTCATTTATAAATACAATAGTTTTTATTTATCCTTATACTTTTTGTTTCTTTTACTTTCATTAAGTAATATTAACTAATTTATATAAAGTTAAATAGAGGTAAAAATAAACATGTTTGAATTATTCCTCATTTAGGGAAGGGTGTTTTCAGTATTGCCATTCAGTATAATGTTGGCTTCTCAGATGCTACCAATCAAATGTAGGAAATTTTAGTTAATTCCTGTTTCCTAAAACCCTTTTTCATTAGTATTGACTTTTTATGACATACTTTTTTCTAATCATATTTACAGGTATGTTTTTCTGTATAACATTCTTAAATTAGTACACTGCATTCATTTTTAATGTTTATTAACTTTTGCATTCCTAAAAGTTTCTACATTTGGAGTTGTGTGAAGTGAATCTCACCTGTAATCCTAGCCAGTAGGGAAGCAGAGATGAAGAGGATTGTAGTTAAAGGCTAGCCTGGGTGAAAAATTCAGGAGACTCTTATTTCAGCCAGTAAAAGCTAAGCATGGTAGCTGTGTACCTGTTATCCCAGATACATAGGAAGAATAAATAGGAGAATCAAAGGTTAGGCTAGCCAGAGCATAAAAATGAGACTGTATCTGAAAAATAACTAAAGAAAAAGAGCTAAAGGAATGCCTCAGATTATGATAAGAGTATCTGCCTAATAAGAGCAAGGCCCTGAATATAGAAACCAGTACCTTCTCCAAGTAAAATTCATATAATTTTATGCTCATTTCTTTTAACTTGTTTGTTAGCACAATGTTGTTTATAATATTCCTTTACTATCTTTTTTTCTCTTTTCTTAGTGTAGATTCTATACTGATATTTTTCTATGCTTGCTCATTTTTATTTATTTCATTGATTTTCATTCTACTATTTCTTTATTTCTTACTTTGGGTTTATTTTTCTTTGTAAAGTAGAACATTAGTTGGGCACCTTGTAACCCTAGCTACTCAGGAAGCTCTGAGATCTGTGGATTGTCGTTCAAAGCCAGAGTGGTCAGGAAAGTCTGTGACTCTTTAACTATCAATTAACCACCAAAAATCTGGAATTGAATTGGTAAAGTGCTAGCCTTGAGCTAAAAAGCTAGGTCCTGAGTTTGAGCCCCAAGACCCACCAACACACACATACACACACACACACATTCTCACACACACACACACACACACACACACACGAGCCATAGTGCATTCAATTTTAGATTTTTTTGAGCTAAAAAGCTAGGTCCTGTGTTTGAGCCCCAAGACCCACCAACACACACACACACACACACACACACACACACACACACACACACACACACACACACACACACACAAACCATAGTGCATTCAATTTTAGATTTTTTTCCAACATAAGCCTCTATAAATTTCCTTCTACCCTATGTTATACCTACATTCCACAGGTCTTGCTATGTTACACTTTCAATTATCATTTAGTATTCCATTTTCTCTTATCCATATATAACATAGAAATGTATTGATTAATTTTTAAATATCTGAGGCTTCTTTAGGTAAATGATTGTTGTTTAGTATTAATTTATTTTCATTATGGTCAAAGAAAAGAGACTATTTTAGGAAATACTTTGAAATATTGGTAAAATGATGGAATTCTTTACTTAAATAATTCAGAAGGGGAGGAGTAGGTATTAATATAGATACATAAAATTGAGTGAATAGTGGTACATGTGTGGATTTTGTATTACAAAAGAGGAATTCTCATCTTTTCTAGCAAATTTTACTAGACTTCATGTTCTTTATTACGTTTTCCTGAGAGAAGACTCTGGGCCCACCATCTACATCTTTTATTCCCATGATCAAAACCCATTTGGTTCTTTTGTAGGGATTTTTTAAAGCTGATGACTCATACCTATAATCCTAAATACTTAGGAGGATGAGTCAAGGTCAAAGCCAATCCAGGCAGGAAAGTGCGTGAGACTCTTATCTTCAGTTATAGCAAATACTGGAAGTAGAGCTGTGGCTCAAGTTGTAGATGGCCAGTCTTGAGTGAAAAAACTCAAGGACAGTGCCCAGGCCCTGATTTCCCAGCCCCAGTACTGGCACCAAAAGTGGAGGGAAGAAAAAGAAATTTGGTTCCTAGGAATGTAATTTGAGTGAATTATACTCTCTAAAACCATTAGGCCTTTGAAACAAGGGTAAATATACAAATATTTAAGAGGCTAATTCATGATTAAATGAGATAATATGTGCTATATGTTTAGTACCATACTTGGCAGTACTAGAGATTGAACTCAAGGTCTCATGCTTGCTAGGCAAGCCCTCTAATACTTTAAGCTATACCCCCAGTCCTGCTGAATTTTATTTTAAATATAGAAACAAAACTTCATATTGGATCTTAAATTCGAGAGACATCTTAATGTATAATGTATAGGTTTCTGATAATTGGATCTTTCATTAAAGTGTGTGTATATTATAATTTATATCCTGACATTTTCCAGAAAGGATTTGAAATAGCTGTCTAACTTTGGAGTATGTTTCAATTTTGATGTAGTAGAAACACTGAACTAGAATTAAGACAACCTTAACATCTGTTTTCTCTTTCCTACTAATCTGGAAGATTGTGAGAGTGACTCCTAAGTTAGGACTTGAGGGTCACTCAGTACTATTTTCCTCGTTTGTTAAATAGTAAATGATTAGTTTCAAATATTGGTCTTTAGGTTCCTGAGGATAGGCATATAAGTTTCAAAGCTTCATAAGCTTATTTATATAACCTAAATTTAATCTTGCTCTTGAAGGTAATAATTATCACTCCTTTCAGTACAATGTTAACATTATGATTATATTGAGTCTTGTTTTGGTGGCAGAATTCTTATAAATGACACCGAAATTTTAAATTCTCAAGTTTTTAAGTTCTTGGCTTTCTTACATGCTAACCTGAATTTGTAGCATATTTGGAAGACAGCTTGTCTGTTTTAAACTGATAAATACATACTATTATCTTTCCTGATGAGCCTTTCCTAACAATTGCTATTTTTGGTTCTGCTCAGCAGGACTAAATGTGCTTTTTAATGAGACGGATTATTTTATGGGTATTTTGATTATCATTAGGAGATAAAAGATTTTAAATAAAAGAACATCCTTTTAGGAGATGAAATGCTAGGCCCATCAGAATATTCCATTTGGATGCTTTTATCTATGTAAATTTTTTCTTATCTTATTAGAAAGGTTACAGAATTTTAATCAATTTTATTATGTAATTTAAATGCCTAAAATTTAGTAATATATCTGAGTTAAATTTTACTTATCTGATATGTAGTGATTGCAGTTAATTAACCCTTTAATATTTTTAAATGACTGTAAGCCTCATATTTGTCTTACATTTGTTTTGTGATATCAAAACAGTAACTCAGAATATGAGAAAATCTTTCGAGATCATATCTGATAATATTTAGACCATAAAAATAGCTGTCACTCAACAGCAAAATAACCTGATTTAAAAATGTGCAAAGAACTTGAATAGACCCTTCTCTCCAGGAAGCTATACAAGTGGCCAGTTACCATATGAGAAAAAATATTTTTAGTTGGTAGGGAAATAGAAGACCAAAATTTGGTATTACTTCTTACCCATTAGCATTAGAGTGACTCCCCCCCCCCCCCCGTTGGTGCTTGAACTCAGGTTCAAGAAGCTGTCCTTGAACTTTTTTGTTCAAATCTAGCACTTTATGATTTGAGCCATAGTTAATTGGAGATAAATTGCTAATCCTTAGATCTCAGCTTCCTGAGTATCTAGAAATACAAGCATGAGCCTTTAGTGCCCAGCTTTAGAGTGACTTTTAAAAGACAGGAATCAGAGGAAAATTTGGGTCTGGTGATACGTGCCTGTAATTCTAGCACTTGGGAGGTTTAGGTAGGAGTATTAAGTCTTTGAGACTACACTGTGCTATGAGATTGTCTCAAAAACAGGAGCAACAAAATAGGACAAGTAGTGTTGGCAGGGATATGGATAAACCAGAATTATGTTATAGATGGGAAAGTTAAATAATGCAGCTGCTAAAAACAAGTTTGGTGATTTCTCACAAAGTTCAACATAGAACAGTCATCCAGTAGAGACTCAAACAAGCATTATTTTTAGAAGCATTATTCCCAATAATCAAAAGGTTATAGTAACTGTACTGTCTGTCCATTTAAGTGAACAGACACCAAGAACAGTATTATGGGAGTCCACTGATGTTTGTTTGGAATAGGACAATTCTTAGAGATAGGGAGTAGAATTAGAGATAGCTAAAGGCTAGAGGAAGAGAGTAACTGGATTATGGTTTAATGGGTTGTATAACACTGATGATGGTTCTATAACACTGAATAAGTTTAAAACCATGAACTTGTTCACTCAAAATTATTAAAATATAATTTTTATGTCATATTACCACAATAAGAAAATAAAGCAAAATAGCCAGCCAAGTTTATTTGGTCATTCTTTTTCAGTATTCTTTTCCCTACATCTTTTTCATTTGTCACTGAACCACAAGGATAGGTATTTCAATAGTATGCATATTTAGTAAGTGTTTAATATTGGTTACCACTGATTTTGTGTGTTTTTAGAATTAAAAATAGTATGGGTTTATTTGGTGGAATGGCTGTTCTTTGATATGGAATCTGTCTTTATTGCTCAGGGTGCCCTCGAATTCCTAGCTTTAAGCAATCTTTCTGCCTCAGCTTCCCAAGTAGTTGTGACTATAAGTATGTACCACCACACTTATCTTGGTGTGTTTTCAATATTCTTGTGGTTAAAAAAAAAATGTATCTCCTTTATTTTGTAGTTACTTCGAGAGCTTAAGCATCCAAATGTCATCTCTCTTCAAAAAGTGTTTCTTTCTCATGCTGACCGGAAAGTGTGGCTTCTATTTGACTATGCTGAACATGACCTCTGGGTAAGGTGAATTGCTTCTAGACAGACCATTGGTTTCAGTTAGGTAGATTTAAGAGTTATTAAAAACAATACAGAGTTTATCCTGTGAAGATTTACATTTATAAAAGTCACCTCATAGAAGGTAGTTGCTTAAGTACTAGGGCTAGAATATTTTCTTGGGTATGACAGGTTAAGTATCCTTTGTCCAAAGTGTTTGGGACCAGAAGAGTTTCCAATTTTGTATTTTTTTTCTCCAGATTTGGAGATACTTCAGATGGTGACTATATTTGGAGATGTTTGGGTTGATGAATGTGTCATAAAATGGGTAATATTGATTGATGTACAACATAGAATATGTTTAATGCCATGAACTTGGTTGCATAAAATTGTTAAAACGATAATTTAACAATTGTGGTATAATATGTGTGTGTATGCATATATATCAACAATAAAAAGCAAAGTAGCCTGCCATACAACAAACATAAAGGTATTTCATTATGTAATGAAATACAATTCCCAAGGTATTTCATTATGTAGTGAATTCCCAGAGTCCGGAGGATGGGAGTTGGACTCAAATCTAAACAGAAAATTGATTTGTTTACATTTCATATATACCTCAGACACATAGTTCAAAGTTAATTTTGTGTGACATATAGGATCATTTTATGCATGAAACAAAGGTTTATAGTGTGGAATATGCCAATTGTGACATCATGTTGGTCCCAAAAGTTTAATACTTTTTTTATTTATTTTGAAAATTTTTATTAATAAGTTTTTTTACTGTGAAAATACTGTACAGAGGGGTTATAATTACACGAACAAGGAAATGAGTACATTTCTTATCAAGCATTGTTGCCTCCTCCTTTGTTTCCCCTTACTATCCCTGTCCTACCATCCCCTTTTTCTCCTCCCTCCCCTGCCAAAGTTGTAAAGTTCATTTTTTGATGTCTCATTGTTGCAGTGGGTCCACCTGTATCCATATTTAAACAATTTGTTTTTTCCCTACCCCTCCCCAAATGATACCAACATCAAATACAGTGAAAACAGGTTATACCGTGGGGGAGAGACATACAAAGCAACAAAGATATCATCTTATAAATATGTTAGAACCAATAGCAAGAAAGAAAAACCATTTGAGTCCTTATCTTGGGGTTCACTTCGCCTAACATCAACTTGTTTGACCTTTTCTGCTTGTCTCAGACATATACTAGTTATTGCAAATAAGGGAAACCATGGGATCTATATTTCTTTGGGCCTGGCTTACTTCACTTTATACAACTGTTTCCAAGTCTTTCGATTTCCTAACAAATGGGGCAATATCATTCTTTCTGATGGAGGCATAGAATTCTATTGTGTATATATACCACATTTTCTTGATCCATTCATCTACTGAGGGGCATCTGGGTTGGTTCCATATCTTAGCTATGGTAAACACTGCTGCAATAAACATGGTTGTGCTGGTAGCTTTAGTATGGTCTTGTTTGTGATCATTTGGGTATTACTTTATTTCATTTTCCCTTTTTCCATCTCCTCCTAAGTATTACCTTAGATTCATGTTCTCTGTTTATCCACATATATACATATATAAATGTATTTGTGTATGTACATGTATATGGGTATGTATACATTGTAGTTCAGACTTCCTCATATGAATGAAAACTCATATTTCGAGAGGTTTTCAGCTTGGCTTGTCCTCAAATTGCATCAATTTTCCTGAAAACGATATCATTACATTTTTTTAAATGGCTATGATGATTGTACAGCACTGAATACACTTAATGCCATGAACTTGTTTGCTTAAAAATTGTTAAAGTGACCATGTTCATGGCTCATGCTCTAATACTAGCTATTGATGAAGCTGAGATTTGAGGATTGTAATTCAAAGCCAGATCAGGCAGTTAGACTCTTATCTCCAATTCACTACCAAAAAGCCAGAAATGGAGCTGTGGCGTATGTAGTAGAGCCAGTGGCATTGAACAAAAAAGATCCAGGAACAGTTCAAGCCCTGAGTTGAAGCCCCAGGAATGAGCCCCCCTCCCCCAAAAAAGAAAATTGTTAAATGGAATTTTTATATCATATTACTACCATTTTTTTTAAAAAAGCAGTCAACAAAACCATCACAAACTATAGGTTTGCTTGGTTATTCATTTTGAGTGTCTTTCCCCAAAACATGGAGATAGATAGGCATCTCAATTGGGAGTGTGCTATAAGTGTTTAATATTGGTTATTACTGGTTTCATATGTTCTTAGAATTACAAACAATGTAGGTTTATTTGTTGGCTGAATGGCCACTATTGTAAATATAATTGTTTTTCTGATTTCTCATCCTGTTCATTGTTATGATACAGAAAAGGCATTGACTTTTGAGTATTGATTTTGTTGTATTCTGCTACCATTTTATTTTTTAGTTCTAGACACTGTTCAGTAATTCTTGTACTGTAGTGAATAAAAGTAGGAAGAGTGGATATCCTCTACTTGTTTCTGACTTTAAGGAAAATGGTTTTAGTTTTTCCCCATTTAATATAATGTTAGCTATAGTTTGTCTTATATAGCTTTTATGAAGTATAGGTATATTGTGTTTAGTTTCTTCAGAGATTGAATGATAAAAATATGTTTAATTTTATCAGAGGTTTTTTTCTGCTTTGATTAAGATCATGTGGATTTTCTTCTCAGTCCTGTTTATGTGATATATTTATTGATTTATGTATGTTGAGTCATGCTTGCATTCCTTGAAGAAAGCAATTTGATCTTGGTATATTAGCTTTATAATTCTGTTTTTAATAATTGTATTGAGAAAGTTTGCTTAATGCTCAGTGAAATTGCTCTATAATTCTCTTTTTTTTATTGCTACATCTCTGACTAGTTTTAAGTGAGTATAATGATTGCATCATTGAATGATTCCAGTAATGTCCCCCCCCCCCCCCTTTTTTACCTTTTTTTTTTGTTTCACGAAGGAACTTAAGGACTGTTAGTGTTAGTTCTTTGAAGGTCTGGTAAAATTTTGCCATGAATCTATCCTGTCCTGGGCCTCAATTTCATAAATTGTTTTATAGATGTATTTGGTTTATAATTGCTTCATTAGTTTTGATGGATCATCTGTAACTAAAAATTTATCCATTTCTTCTAGATTTTCCAGCTTACTTGAGTGGAGATTTTAAAAGTCTCAAGGTCTCAAAGTCCTTTTGACTGATGAGGAGAATGTGTCTTGTGCTACTACGGGTGAACTACTTTGTAGATGTCTGTTAATTCCATTTGGTCTGTGGTATTATTTAACTCTGAGGCTTCTTCCTTGGTTTTTCACTTGGATGACCTATTTAGTGTTATGATTTCAGTATTGATGTCCCCCACTATTATTGTACTGGGTTGATGTCCCCCACTATGATTGTACGTCCCCCACTATGATTGTACTGGCTTGTATGAGTGCTTTTGTCTCTTTAGTGAACCTAAATATGCTGATATTTGTGCATATGTATTGACAACAGTGAATTTCTCTTCAAGGATTTTTCTTTTTATTAATATGAAAGTAACTTGTCTCTTCTCTTTTGAAGCTTTCAATATGTCCCCCCCTATATATTTAGTATTTTTCTTTTTGTATGTCTAGAAGTATTTCTCTTCTAATATTGTCTGTTTGGAGTTCTATAAGCTTCTGTCACATAGATGTCACTCTTCGCAAAGTTGAGAAACATTTCTCCATGTCTTTAGTTTTTACTTTTTCTTCCTGTCCATCCACAACTTGTAGGTTTGATCTTTTAACAATATCCAAATGTTTCTAAGAACCCTTGTTATTCCCTATGTGGTTTTTCAGTGATTGTCATAATTCCTTTATCTTCAGTTTCTGATAACTTGTTTTCAACTTCTGCTGCATTGCCTAAACTTTCGATTGAGTATTTGGAGCAGTTAAACTTTTTCTTTCTTTCTTTCTTTCTTTCTTTCTTTCTTTCTTTCTTTCTTTCTTTCTTTCTTTCTTTCTTTCTTTCTTTCTCTCTCTCTCTCTCTCTCTCTCTCTCTCTCTCTCTTTCTTTCTTTCTTTCTTTCTTTCTTTCTTTCTTTCTTTCTTTCTTTCTTTCTTTCGTCAGTCGTGGAGCTTGAACTCTGGGCCTGGGCGCTGTCCCTGCACTCTTCAGCTTAAGGCGAGCGCTCTACTGCTTGAGCCAAAGCGCCACTTCCGGTTTTCTAGTGGTTTATTGGAGATAAGAGTCTCATGGACTTTTCCTGCCCAGGCTGGCTTTGAACCGATCTCAGCCTTCTGAGTAGCTAGGATTATAGGCATGAGCCACCAGCGCCCGGCTGCAGTTAAGCTTTTCATTTTCACCATTTCAGTTTGAAATATTTTGCATTGGTTTTGTTCACTTCTTGTATTCTCTTGTGTACTTGATTTCTCTTGGTGTTTGTGCACTTTCTCTTGTTGTTAGCTTGAATCCTGTTTGTATCTATATACTTTTTAAAAAACATCCTTTATTTCATTAACCATTCTTATTCTTGTTTTATTGAACTCATGTTTGGACTTTTTCTTCACTCTCACTTAAGTCCTTTAAATGTAACATGTTCCATTTTTTGTTAAAGAATTTATTATCTTTCTTTGGGAATTACATATCTGGATTTACAGTTTATTGATGTTCAATCTACTGTATAGATTTTAGGTACTGGTTTCTTGTAGCTTTGTTAGGATAGGATGAAAACTGGGTGTATTGATCGGCATGTTAGATTTTAGTTGACAATCTATTTCAGGGACTCTTCCCCACCCAAACTGAGGAAGCTTGGTTTTACAGGCTCTTTTATGTATAAACCACAGACTTGTGTTTTCAAGTCACTGCTATTCCTCCAATGGATAAATGATTGATGTTGTAGCTTTATGCTCTTGAAAGACTTTCCTCAACCAGGGTGGTAGTCAGAAAGCAAAAGAGTCCTATTGGATTACTACATGTTTAACTATACAGAGTGGGATACAGCAAGAGCAAAGCTAATGGGAAAGGCTGGTTGGAAAGTGGACTAAAATACGTAGAAATTTCTTTTAATATTTTG